GCCGCCCTGAGTCCCGCCGGGAATGGGGCGGCATATAAATAAAATGAACCTTGAACCTATTTTTTGCAGACATTGGAGACACAAGATAGCATTAGAATTTTAGCTGTATGCATTTCTACTATGCCCTCAAAACCAGTTCCCATCTGAAACAGCTGTTTCTTGGGCCACTCTGCTGCATAGCAGCTGTTTATGCAGTGAGGCCAAGAACTGGACAAGCCTGTGTGTGTGTGTGTGTGTGTGTGTGTGTGTGTGTGTGTCCATTGCTCTTGCCTGGAGCAAGAGGGGCTGTCACCAGAACCTCCATTGGCTTTTGAGGGGCTACCACTCCTCTTAAAGGAGACCAAGTCTCTTAAAGTTGGTGAATGGGGCAGTAACACTACTATAAAGCACCTGGGCTGTGCCCAAAAATCCCTCCATTGAAGGGAGCCTAAAAACCACTTCCCATCCGAACCAGTTCTGAGACCAGGAAAAGGAGCAGTAGCTCCCTCATTGCCCACCTAGCTGTGGACAAGGGTCAGGAGACCCCAGAGGGAGCTCCCCCTTTGTGTGGGAGAGGGGGCAGGAGAATTTGGGCAGGAGCTGTGCTTGGCACCGGCTTGCAAAAGCTGGCATGGCTTGCCAAGTGGGCGTGGCCAGGGGCTGTGCTGCAGGGGAGGAAGGCACCCACCCAGATGTAAGAGAAGCAGGCAGGGCATGGAGCTTGCTTGGCTTTCCCCACCCGACACCGCTGCTGTCTCTCCATGCTGCTTTATAAAACCTGCTCCGCAAAGTGCTGTGAGCCTTGAATTCTGATTCACTTGCACGAGCCCGGCTGGGTGGGCAAGGTGGGAGATCTGAGCTGGTTCTATGGGAGCTGATTTTGAGGCTCCCTTCAATGGGGAGTTTATTGAGAGGGCTCAACAGGAGTGTTGCTCCCCTGTGGCAGTTTTAAGAGGCATGGACTTCAATGTGGGCAGTGGTGGCTCCTTGAAAACCAATGGAAGTACTGGTAACAGCTCCTCTCACTCCAGACAAGCATCCTTGGAAAGGGTGTGCGTACCTTCCGAATGACCCCCAGCTTCCCCAGTTCCTGGCCTAGTGCCTCTTTGCAGAAGCAACTGCTGCACCATAACAAGAAACATTTCACCTCCTCACCCCACAAAGGAGGGATGGCAACCTTAAGCTCTGCCTTGTCTTGCAGCCGGGGTCATTTGGTGCTGTCAAGTGGGGGCACATGCTCCTGTGAGAGCCTCTGCACTATGCTGAGGGGGGGGGGGGCACAGGAAGGCTTTAGTGCAGTTCTCACTCAGCCTTCTTCCGGATGCAATTTGGGGCCTACAGCACTGGAACCTGGAGAAGAAGCAGCTGTGAGGGCAGGTAGCCCGTTCCTGAGGCTGCTGCCTGCCCCACCTGTTGATCTCTTTGCATGCAGTGTCCAAAGGGACAGCAGAGGCCCACCCCTCAACATGCAGATTGGCCACCAGGATGTATGGCTAATTGTCCTGTGTTGTGAATTGGCCGTGGCAATTTGTCCCTCAGCAAATTGCCTGGGTAAAGGAGGAGAGGAGCAAAAGGGGACAAGTCAGGGGGGATGAACACTGGGGAAGGGGCAGCTTGAAGGGGCGGTGGCATGAAGAAGATGTAGCCGGTAGCTGGTACTGTGCCCAATTGTCATAGATCACTGCATACTCCCATTTGTAATATTCATTCCAGGACAGAGCTGGCCAATGGATTGTTCTGCTGTTGTGCTATGTTACAATGCAATGACTTAAATATTTTGACTTTCAGCAAGGTGTTTCCTTATGTGTTAAGCTAAGTCAGCGTTGTCAAAGTGGATATCATTGAGGGCCACATCAGGATTGTGTTTGTCCTTGGGGAGTGGGGGGCATGGCCAGGGTGGGCATGGCCAGTTTGACATCACTCGTGTTGGGGGTACCTGTGGTGGCCTGAGAGCTCTGCCAGCAAAAACAGGCTTCCAACCTCCATTTTCAGCTGCAACAGCCTCTTGCAACCCTCTGCCAATGAAAATGGACCTTGGAAGGGACGTGTGCCGCCCTCCCAAGCTCCGTTTTTGCTGGCAGAGGCACCACAGGCCAGTCCTTTGCTGTTTCCAGGGCAGCCCCATGGGCCAGATCTAAGCACCCTGTGGGCTGGATCTGGCCTGCAGGCCCTGAGCTTGACACCCCCCTAAGCTAAGTAATATGAATCATTAAACATAATGCATTTTAAAACCAACCTATTTGCATAAAGCAGTTAGGAAGCTGACAGAAGCTACATTTTCCCATCCATTTTATTCACTCCTCTCTCTTTTTGGCCAGGATCTTGCTCTTATTTTATTCTACAATTTCCGTATGTGCCTCATGTTCATTCCTTTAATGGGATTCAAGACCTTCATGGCATATTACTGGCTTTCCAGGTAGGAACTGTGGAGAATTCTCAACTGCACTGCTGCCTCCTGTGCATATAATTGATGTACAGAACGTGTGCTTGGAATGAGGGAGATTTTATGTGTGGTGCTTCATGTCCCTCATGATCTTTCCAGTCTGAAGAAGGGCAACTGCTGCAATGTCTGAGTCATGAATCACAAGAAAAAGTGGTTAGGTCCTTGATCAGATATGTAATATATTACATATATGACCTTGACACTGCAATATCTTAATGCAACACCAATTACAGCAGAAGGCAGAAACTTATGAGGGCCAAATCTAATTAATAATTGAATGAGAGACCACCAGGAAATATCAGGCCCGAATACTAGAGTAGAAAGTTTTTTTTTAAAATTTTCTAAAGTGTTTAAAAAAGTGTTTCAGAATAAGGTAGTGGGAAACCATGTCTATATTCCCTCACCCTCCAAAGCACCTTTATGTTTATGGAGTCATCAGGAGTCAAGATTACCTAGAAGAGACTTTACATTCTCCCTTTCTTTTTTAAAAAAACCCTGCCTTTCGGCACCAGCAAAATGGTGATCCATAGACAATTTGTCAACGAAGAACCAGTTTGGGGCAATGGTGAAGGTTTTGGCCTAGAACACAAAAGGAAGTTCCAGGCCTACCTTAGGTATGCAAGCTGGCCAGGACTAGTCACAAACTCTCAATCCAACACACCTCCAAAGGTAGTTATGAGGAAAATAGGAGCAAGGAGTATTAGGCAAGTTCTCCATCTTGAATTGAAATATAACAATAATAGAAGACTATAGCTGGTGAAGGGATGTGACATCAGGATTCCCATGGTGCTGATATCCCCGGGAATTATAGTTCTTTGTGCATTGGAAGGCCTTAGATATTTGAAGTATAATTAAATAAATATCTTCCTGGGTAACAGATATAATAAGTTATTCCCTTATCTTTAGTTACTTGCTTTCCACTGAAAGACAAACACTGAAAAAAATGGTGGATTTGTAAGAGTGAAATCAAAAGATCAAATCAGAAGATAAGAGAGGTTTGCCAGCAAAGACAATAACAATTTTAATGATGATAAAAACAATGAAAAAATTGTAAAAAAATTCTAATTATTTCATTTCTTGAAATTACTTACTTCCACAGGTTCCTAGAAAGCACCTGGTTTCTCTGGGTCTCTCAAATGAATCACATTCCAATGAACATCAATTATGACCAGAATCTGGACTGGGTCTCTTCCCAAGTAAGAACATTTCCATTCTAGTCATAACATTTGGGAAAGAACAGGAACTTACGTTTTTCTATGTTGCTCTGTTTTTGCTACACTCTGTTTGCAGCTGGACATGCAGCTAAACTCATCTATCCTCCAATAAAACAAACCATGTGTGTAGATTTATTAAAGGGACAGGATGGCTGAAACAGGTAAAAATAGAAATACATACAATAAGAACCCAAATACAAAATAAGCAGCATTGAGTTGCTGGTGAGCATAATAATTAATAAATAAAAATCAAAATCTCACCAGCAATACTGTGTGTATGGGATGTGGATTTTTGTCCTCAGATGAACATGTGCCACAGATAGGCTGTTTCTTCCTGGTGCTTCTGTTTCCTCTCCATGCTAAAGTCTGGTTTCCCAGGATGCACTTATTTTTGGAGTGAGGATTGATGGATAGATAATCCTTAAAGGACAGGGTCAGCTTCCAAACAATACAGCCACTAGACGGTGCCAGAGAACAACAACAACATATACACAAATTATATGGCTGTGGCATAACATATGGATTGGCAGATAGGCAGATATAGCAGAGATTCACATTGTTGGAGTTTGAGTTGAACAAAATCCATGTTAAAGGATGTACTGAGCATATCCAAAATAATAAGTAGCAGACAGCTCCAATTAAAACTGTTCGATGTATTATTTTCTTGGATGTAGCATATAACTTCAACTCAGCTGTCAATACGCTATCAATCAAAATTTGTAATCAAAAAGAAAACCTGACTTGTATCTGAGCTACACCTTGGAGGGGGGAGGGGGGAAGGGAGGGGAGAGAGAGAGAGAGAGAGAGAGAACACACAATTTTTAAATTAATCATGGGCCTTGTAACAAACAGACACAGAGGAAGCAGGTGAAAACCTTCTCCTCTATCTGTTGCCCTTTGCATTAACAGGTAGAAATGGAAAGTACAGTTGTCAACAACATTTCTTCAGGCTGAGAGAAAAAGACTGGCCCAAGATCATCCAGCTGGTTTTCTTCCTAAAGCAGGACTAGAACTCACAGTCTTCCAGTTTCTAGTCTGATGCCTTAATCACTACATCAAACTGGCTCTCACTTTCATTTCTATTTACTGTATTAAAGCTAAAGGTAAATGTCTACTTTCCAGTCTTATATTTTAAAACGTTCTCTTCCTTTTCTTCTATCAAATTAAGATAACAATTGTTCTTGGACCCTCCAATAGTGCATGTCTGACGTGTAAGATTTCAGTGAAGCTCTCTTAGGCACAAGGTTACTGTACAAGGTACATTGTCTATTAGAGCTAGCCTGAGTCAAGCGTTTACATTCAAATGTTTAGAAAACAAAGAGAAACCAAACAGAAGTCCAGACCCACAAGCCAAGAATAAGAGTTTCTTCTTTACAGAGTCTCCCTGTGATAGGAAGCACCAATGCCTGAAAAGAAAAGGGCCAATTGAAGGGCTTCACCTGCTGTCTCTTCCTCCCTTAGCTCTCAGCAACATGTAATGTTGACCATTCCTGGTTCAATGACTGGTTCACTGGGCACCTGAACTTCCAGATTGAGCATCAGTGAGTATGAGCTAGAGAAGGAGCAAGGCCATAGAAACGTGTGTTTGTGGGAGTGGGAGACCTTTGGAGCAATCATACAACACACATGGTCAACATTAAGCAGGGCTGCCATGTTTTGGACCTAACAAAAGTTCTGGAATCATGACCTGACACCCTCTTTCCTTCTTGCAGCCTTTTCCCCACCATGCCTCGACACAATTACTACAAGGTGGCTCCTATGGTGAAATCTCTGTGTGCCAAGCATGGTGTTCATTACGAGTGCAAGCCCATCCTCACAGCTTTTGCAGATATATTGCAGTAAGTTCCTGGCTGAGGGAGGCTCCTCTTGGGCACTGGATTATCCAGAAGGGATTGCAGCCAGAAAGAGCACAAAAAAGATTGCCTGGTGAAGATGTTCTCACTGCCATCAATCCTCTTCTCCTTTCTCTTTCTGCAGCCGCCTGAAGGAATATGGGCAGGACTGGCAGAAAGCTTATCTCCATGAATTGGGAGGGGGAGATGTTCAGACAGCAACAGAAGTACATTAACTTGATGAGAAAGGATGACTTTTAATTATGGAGAACTTCTGATTTTGATCAACTCTTGGGATAATGAAGAAGCAGGAACAAAACCAGAGTCACTTTTGATAGGTGATGGATAGTATAAATAAATAAATAAAATAAAATTTAAATTAAAATGGTGGCTCAGTCATTTCTTTCATGCCAGCATGCCTAATTCTGCCTTACCCCATTTGCTAAGATGAATAACAGAGCTGTTTCCTTTTGGGGATATTCATCCCATTATTCTAACTCTTAATCATAGTGGAAGACATGAAATCTGCCAGGTGAGGCCTTGCTGAGACTCAGAACCCATCCCAGAGAACATGGTGCCTACCAGGGGCATCCACAACAGTTGGGGCTGGTGTGAAAACAGTAAAGATGATGCTTATGATCACATGCCCTGATAATTGCACAGGCTTCAGCACAGGCACTGCTACCATCATGCTTTTTTAAATCCCATCCTCCCTTGTGTTCACCCCTGCTGAAAAGGGTTGTTGAGAGTTGTAATTCAGCATTAGGGGGNTGTAAGTGTGAGGCTTGTCATTGGCTTGTAGTGGTACTGTGTAGCATCTCTGGCTTGCTTCTTGAAGGTTGTCTTTTCCATCTAGGTGAGCATTGCTGCTTGGCCTGAAGTGTTGATGGATGCACACTGAAAGGCATTGCAAAGCATGTTGGAGTTCAGCTTCTGGCCAAAGCATTTTGCTGCATTTGCTGCATTCATCGTCAGAACATACATGTCTTCCTGGGGCTTTGTCCTTGGCTGTGACAGCTGCTAATATTTCTTTTTCTATGGTAAGCCACTCTAGGTTAGCTTCTAACAGGACTTCCTGCATTTCCAGGGATGCCTCTTGCTGCATTCCTACAGTTCTTTCTCTATTCCTTCAGGCCTCTAACCATGGTCTCTCTTTTTTCATTTCCATTTCTTGATCAGTAAAGGCTGCTCGTGCTTTTGCTGCTTCAGCCTTTGCTGAATTGGTGATGGTAAGTTCATTACTGGTGATGGTAAGTGCATTACTTGCTTATGACTGTTTGGAAAAACTACAGATTTGAGACCTTGCTTTGTTTGAAGATGGCTAGCTATGTGACATGGTGTCTTCTGGAGGTGCTCAACTGTGTGAAGACTTCTATATTGCCATATGTAGGTGACTGCAGTGACTGGGTAGCAGGCCTCTGTGTAGTCACTATCCCAGATTGCAATTTTTGGGTAGCCACCATTTCACTGTTCTGTCCTTACTACATGTTACTCTGCAATTTGCTAAACCCACCTATCCTCCAATAAAACAGACCATGTGCATAGAGTTGGTTGCTTTGTTAAAAGGACAGGATGGGTGAAACTGGGGAAAAATAGAAATACATACAATAAGATCTCAAATACAAAATAGGCAGTGTTGAGTTGCTGGTGGTCTTAACTGCTGTGTCCTGTCTTCCCTCTGGTCCTCTCCCCTAATGGAAGTTGAAGAAATAAAGATGTAATTGGCTGGCCATCTGCCAGCTCAATATAAAAGAGCTGTCAGATGGAATTTGCCTCAGCTGTTGTGTTAGCTGAGCAGCAGCCACTTGGTTAGTAATGTTCTGTTAGAGCTGAATAAATCTGTTAGCCTTTAAAGTCATCTCGCCTCAGTCTGTCAGCCACCATTCCTATACGGAGTAACTGGCAATGAAGGTGGAATGGAGTGTTGTGTCCTGTCTTCCCTCTGGTCCGCTCCCCTAGTGGAAGCTGAAGAAATGAAGACATGTTGTAATTGGATGTCTGTCTGACAGCTCAGTATAAAAGACTGGCAACGAGGATGGGATGCCAAGGCTGAGGCGATAGATGCGAGCGAAGTCACAAAGAACTGAGCAAAGTCACGAAGAGCTGAGCTGTCACTGAAAGAGAGCTGAAACGCTCACAATGAGAGGTCATGCTAAATGCCTAAATTCAGAAACTGCAGCCACCCAGAGAGTCATGATCTGAGAAGAATGGCAGCTATAAATGCCTTCAACTTCCATTAGGGGAGAGGACCAGAGGGAAGACAGGACACAGCAGTCCATTCCACCTTCATTGCCAGT